TTTTTGTGGTTTTCCTTTCATAAAAAATACCGGGCAGTTCGCCGGTTGGACTCTGCTCCCTTCGGCGTGCCTCCCCCCATCCCTCACCTCTCATTTTGATGTGAACTTTGCTCACTCGCTCGCATCTTTTCCATCGTCCACCAGCTGCTTTTTCCGCAATTGCCGCCGTTGATATCGATTTCCCCACCGGTCTCTTTGTCGATATTCTCATCCAAGCAAGCAAGATGGTTGCCGCAGTTGTGTCTGGGAATACGCTTGGATCTGCCTGGGAAATCCCTTCATTTTTCTAAAAAAAAAATCTGTGGTTTTTTCACTTCGCGTTTTATTATAGGATTCCGTTTTTTTTCGTCGTCGGATTCGCGGTAAATTTTGGATTAGGAGATTTTTGTTGTTTCAGAGACGGTCAGCGCGGCATCCAAATACAACGGTGTTTGTGTTGTTATGACGAAGCCGCGAACCGCAGAGCACCAAATTCGATGGGGCTCGGAATTCTAATCTATCCACCACAGCCAACATCAATGGAGAGCAATCACTTAATCGTAATTTTTTCGCTTTTCTAGATTTTTTTTTCTGTGGTACATGCAAATTTATCACGATTTCTACTTATATGTGCAAGTTTATACGATTGTTGACATTGTTATATGTTGATTTATCACGATTATTGCATTCGGTTTTTGCGTATATGTAAATTTTTCCGATTATTAGGGGGTTTTTTTTTTCATATATATAAATTTAAGCATGTATCGCTGTTCTTAGATCGAAAATGGCTGTAATGGAGGAGACGTGAGCGGTGATCATCATCATCATCTCGAAGCTTCACTGGGGCCTTCCACCCGGATTAACAAGGGCTTGCCATCGGAGCTCAAAGAGGTTTTCCTGGCGCGACATCCCGATTTGAGGCTAAAACTGCATGGCGCAACAACCCCGGATGATGTGCCCACCGATCCTTTCGTTACACCACCATCTGTCCATGCAATAAGCAGTATCAAGGTTTGCTCTTACTTTTAGTAGTTTTCCTAATTTTTGCCAAAATTAGATTGTTTCTCGTTGATTGGATGGAACCAGAACTTTTTCGGAGCTTTTTAGGCTATTGCAGCCATGAACTTCGCGAGCGAGTAGCTGCAAATGACAAAATTTTACCTCATCTGGGAATTGTTCCTCGTACAATTATTTTTGTTTCCCGTAGAGAATGGGCAAAAATTTCGAATAGGATTAATGTACAAAGCAGTACACACACATGCTTTATTGACTTATGAAGCAGTTCGGCTTCAGCACGTGGGATCCACGGGCATGTAAAGGCGGAATTTGAATCTTCGGCGTCGCACTTGAGCGAGGGACATTTTACTAAAATTTCAGCTTCCTAGCTTTTGTGTCATTTCTCTGAAAAAAGCGGCATCTGAGTTCCTTTTTTATGTCCATCTGTAACATTTTGGGATCTTAATAGAAGGAATATGCCTGGCTGTGCTGTTGAATTGAATCATAGTCTGGAAAATTTGCATTTCGATTAAAGTTACAAACAAGTACTGGGAGAATTTGTTTTTGTTGTTAAAATAAGTCTTTATAAAGTTTCGTCTATCGGGCTGTCCTACAAGATATTCACTTGACCAAGCCTAAGATAGTTCCCGAGAACAGCCGCATAAACTAATTGACCATTTCTCGGAATTTCGTCTTTCTGTTTGTTTTTATATTATTTACAGCCCCGGTTTTGGCCATATTTCGAGTTCTGGAGAGTTAGGGTTTCGGGATTGGATTGGATTCGAATTCTTGCTGCATCAAGTTATATGCTCTTCCACATGCAAATGGCAAAATCTTTGAACGTAGTAGCTCAGAATGTGTGTTTCAGATCCGCTCAGCTCCACTCTCAGCCAGTGAAGATGATCGAAATGGCTCAGATTCTTCAGCCTGCCCCCATGATCCAGAGCCGTCGGCGGAATTCCCGGATACGAAAGATATTGCTGATGATGGCCCAAATAAACAGTTGTCATTAGGTGCATTGAACGGCGAATGTACTCAGGAACAGCTGAATGGCGGAGACGCAAGTAGTATAAACGGAGTGCCGGAAGAGACCACTCCTGAAAAGGTATGTGAATCGGAGGTTTTTGAGGTAATTTTCGTAAATTCGGCTTCTTTTTTGCTCCCGGTTGCGCAGTACTAGTGATTGGTGATGTGGAAAAATTTGCCATACTTTTATTTGGAATTCAGCTGTAATTTGCTATCTGATTGCCCACTTGTACAATTTGTACGGCGATTTTTCCAGTTGCTTTGACCGCTGCTGCATTGCTTGATAGTCAGATTGTTGATTTTTGTTTCGTTTTTTGAGAGAGCACCGATTAGCGGATTTTTTTTTTTCTGCGCAAACTCATTTGGGGGGGAACTTTGGCCATCTTGATGAATAAGCGAGTCCAGAGGATGGGGAGGGGAAGAGGGAGGAGAGAGACGATGGGTCTTTCGCCCTCCCCAGCGACAGAGGTGCCAGTACTACAAGAGTCAGGATGTAAAGCAGAAACTGAAGAAAGCTCTTTTCTGCACTCCCCGTC